AGAATAGTCAAAGTAATTTTGAAAAAGAACAAAGCTGGAAGATTCACACTACCTTATTTCAAGACTAGGAAGGTACAATAATCAAGAAAGTATGATCATATCTGTATGATATTTGAACAAAGAGAATCCAGAAATAGCCTCATTCATAGATGGTCAATTCATTTGACAGAGGTTCCAGGCAATTAATTCACTGGGGAAAAAGTATTCACTTCAATATATAGTGTTGGAACAACTACACATATGTATGTAAAAAAAAGAACAAGAACCTTGACCCTTAGCTTACACCAAAGACAAATATTCACTTGAAATAACTCAAGAATCTAAATGCGAATTCTATAATATTTCTTGAAAAGCTTATAAGAAAACATTTTGTGTTTCTGGCTTAGGAGAGAAATAGTGCAAATCGTAAAGAAAAAATTCATAAATTGGAACTCATCATAATTAAAAATGTCTGCTTTTAGAAAGAGAATGAAAAGATACACTACATATGCAGAGAATACCCACAAAGCAGTATCTGACAAAGGGTTCCTATTCTCAAAACATAAAGTTGCCTCAAAACAGATGAGGCCAGTCTAGTCATTTTGAATAGAATGCTACACATTAAAGTGGAATGTAGTATTTATGAACAATAGCACGGATAAATCTCAAAAACATTATGCTAAGTGGAGGAAGCCAGACCAAAAGAGTACATATCCTGTAATTCAATTTATATAACACCCCTAAAAATATAAAATGTAAAAATTATAAAATATAAAAAAATATAGGGGCAGAAATCACTGCCAGGGACTGTGAGAAAAGGGGATGGACTTTCACAGGGAAATAAGAGAACCTGCAAGGATGACAGAAAAGCTCTGTATCTTGATTATAATGGTGATTACATGATATGCATGTGTCAAAATATATCAGACTGTATATTTGAAAGGGTGAATTTTACTGTTTGTAAATTATACATTAATGAACCTATCCTTAAAAAAAGTATGCAGACTTGTAAAGGCTTTCAATATATATTGCTAAATTGCCCTTCCATTAACTTAATTTCTTCTATTCCCACTGAATTTACATTCCCACTGGCATTCTACATCTCATTGGGTTCAATATAATCAGATGATTATTTTAGATGTTTGCCAACTGATAAGTTCTTTAAAAATGTTTTCTCACTGTTTTGATTTGCATATCTCTTAGTTTTTAGTGACACTGAACTTTTTCTCATCAATTCTCTTGAATAGTCGTATTTCTTCTCTGTTCTGTCACTAATTCCTTTTAATCATTGTTTTAAGAAAGTATTTGGTGTTTTTAATATTTTTTTAGATCTTGTAATGTATCTTCAAATATTTGATATAATTTCCAGTTTCTCATTTGTCTTTCATTATTTCAATTTTTTAAATATACCGATAGCTTAAAACCTGAAATGTCTCAGTATTTTCTAAGATTTTTTCTTTCATACTTTTTAGAACTTCTTTCCTCATTTAAAGTTCAGTTATGCCCTGGCTGGTATGACTCAGTGGATTGTGCACCAGCCTGCAAACCAAAGGGTCGCGGGTTCAATTCTCAGTGCAGGGCACATGCCTGGGTAGTGGGCCTGGACCCCGGAAGGGAGTGTGTGAGATGCACCCACACAGTGATGTTTCTCTCCCTCTCTTTCTCCACTTCCTTCCCCTCTCTAAAAATAAATAAATAAAGGAAGGGGAAAGTCAAGGAACATAGAGCAAGGACTCATGGACAAAACCAAAGGGGAAGAGCTGAGGGAGAGAAAGAGGGAGGGGGCAAGGGGAAAGTGGTGGGGGGTAGGCAGAGACAAATGTATTTGAAAAAATAAATTTAAAAAAATTACAAAACAAATCTTTAAAAAAAATAAAGTTCAGTTAAATATTCAACTATATTTTTTGTAATTTTTTATAGACTCAATATTTTTAACTTTTTAAATCTCTCCTGTCTAATACAGTGGCTACTAGCCATAAGTGATTATTAAAATTTAATTAAAATTAAGCTTTCCCCCTGTTTTCTACCAGTTTTATTATTTCATGTCTTACATTTAAGTCCTGAATCCATTTTGGGTTAATTTCTGTGTGTAGCGTAAGGTAAGAGTCCAATTTCATTCTTTTGAATGTGGCTATCCAGGTTTCCCACCACCATTTACAAAGAGACTTCCATTTCCCATTTTATATTCTGGGCACCCTGGTCAAAGATTACTTGATCATATATAGCTGGGTTTATTTCTGAGCTCTCTCTTCCATTCCATTGGTCTGTATCTGTTTTGTATGCCAATAGCAAACTGTTTCAATTACTCTAGCACTGTAATACAGTTTGAAATCTGGAACTATGATGCCCCAGCCTTGTTCTTTCTCAAGACTGTTCTGATTATCCAAGGTCTTTTGTGGATCCATATTAATTTTAGGATTGTTTATTTCTATGAAAAATTACATTGACATTTTGATAGGGATTGCATTAAATCTGTAGATTGCTTTGGGTAGTATGGGTATTTTAATGGTATTAATTCTTTCTATCCATAAACACAGGTCTTAACAATGATTTTTTGCAATTTATACCAAAAGTACAGGCAACAAAACCAAAACAAACAAGTAAGCCTATTTCAAACTAAAAAGATTCTACTCTACACAGCAAAGAAAACCATCAAAAAAATGAAAAGGCAACCTATGGAATGGGAGAAAATATCTGCAAACCATAAATCTGTTAAAGGGTTAATATCCAAAATACATAAGAACTCATGCAACTCATTAACAACAACAACAACAAACCCAAATAACCCAATGAAGAACGAGTCAAAGACCTGAATGGCATTTCCCTAAAGAAGACATACAAATGGCCAACAGGAATATGAAAACGTGCTCAACATTATTAATCATCAAGGAAGTGAGAATCAAAACCACAACAAGACATCACTTCACACCTGTTAGGGTGGCTATTACCAAAAGGATGAGAGAGAAGTGTTGGTGAGGGTGTGGTCAACAGGGAGCCCTGTACACTGCTGGTGGGAATGTAAATTGGTACAGTTATTACAGAAAACAATATGGAAGTTCCTAAAAACAATAAAAAAAATAGAAATCCCATTTCTGGGTATAATCCAAAGCAAAAGAAATCATCCTCCCAAAGAAATACAAGCACTCCAATGTTACTGCATCATTATTCGTAATAGCCACGATATGTAAACAAACAGTGTCTGCTGATGGATAAATGGGTAAAGAATATGTGAGATATATGTATATATACACATATATATATGTGTGTGTGTGTGTGTGTGTGTGTATACACATATATATTGCAGTGGAATGTTATCCAGCCATAAAAAGAAAGAAATATGTCATTTGCAACAACATGAAAGAACCCAGGGGACATTATGCTAAATGAAATAAGCCAGACACAGAAAGAGAGATATATGATATCACTTCTGAGGCATGTAAAAGAGTGAAGCTTATAGAACCAGAGAGTAGACCGTGGTTGTCAGGGGCAGGGTGGGTGGAGGAAATGGGGAGATGTTGGTTAATGGTACAAACTTTTAGGTAGAAGATGAGTAAGGTCTGGGGATCTTATGGTGACAGCTGTTAATACGCTGTATGCTGCAAATTTGCTGAAAGAGTAGGTCTTAAGTGTTTTTACCACAAAACAGAAAAAAGGTTAACTATGTGAGGTGATGAATGTGTTAACCTGATTATGGTAATCATTTTTTTAGATTTTTAGAGCAGCTTTTAGATTGAATTTTGGTAAATTTAGGTAAAACTGAGTAGAAAGTGCAGTGGGTTCTCATAGACCCACTGGCCCCCCCACAAACACACCCTCCCCTGCTACCAACACCCCACGCCGCAGTATAACATCTGTTACAATGGATGAATCTACAGCGGCATTATCATCACCAAGAGTCTAAAGTTTACATCAGAGTCAACTCTTGGTATTGTACATTCCATGGATTTTGACAAATGTATAATGACATATATTCACCACTGAAGCATCATACAGAACAGCTGCATTTCCCTAAAAATCTTCTGTGCTCCACCTGTTCCTCCCTCCCTCCCCTCTAACCTTTAGCAATCACTGATCTTTTTAATGTCTGCATAGTTTTGCCTTTTTAAAAATGTTATGTACTTGGAGTTGTACAAATTTTCACTTAGTTATATGGATTACTTAAGATTCCTACATGTTTTTTTCTTGTCTTGCTCATTTCTTTTTAAAACCGACCACTATTGCCCTAGCTGGATATGCCACAGATTATTTATCCATTCACCTATTAAAGGGCATCTTGGCTGCTTCAAGTTTTGGCAATTACAAAGAAAGTTGCAATAAACATCTATGTGTAGGTTTTTGTGTGTGATTTTAAGTTTTCAGTTCTTCTGGATAAATACTAAGAAGTATAACTGCTAAATCATATATAAAGGATATGTTCAGTTCTGTAATAAACTGCCAAATTGTCTTCCACTGTGACCATACCATTTTGCATTCCCACCAGCAATGAATAAGAGTTCCTGTTGCTCCACATTCTCACCAGCATTTGGTGGTGTACTACCCACATTTCATATGCTTAATGGCCACACGTGGCTAATAGCTACTGTACTAGGCAGTAACATAGAGAATATTTCCACCATCGCAAAAGTTCCATTGGAAATGTTGCTCTATTTAAAGCTTATTTATACAATAGAAGAAGAGCTAATGTGACAGCTTTTCATTTTTTTCTCTGCATAAAATCCACCTCTTCTCCTACTGGATGTTGATGGGTCTTTGTATTTGCTCAGAAAGTCAAATTCCTGTTCAGCTTCTTAACTATATTACCATTAACAAATTATTTAACCCCTCTGAGTCTCAATTTTCTCACCCTAATTACTTATTAGTTTAGTGCATTAAACTAGATAAGCCAGGTAAGAAAGATCACAACATGCATCATAGTAAATTGTTATTTGCAAATGAGTCTGGGTTAGAAGTTTGTTTTTGGAATGTCTCAGTATGGTATTTTGAGAACCCTTTATAAAAGCAAAGCTTAATGTTATATTTACCTGATCTGGATTTTTGTAACCCAAAAGTAGATTTGCTGCTTTTATATCACCATGAACATATTCATTTTCATGTATATATTCCAGTACATCCAACTGTGAAAAGAAATACATAAGGTTATACTGAAGTCTATTTAGAACTCATGATCAACTTGAACATTCTGAATATAGAATAAAATGTATTTTTTCATATTTAACAATGACAAAGTGACACATTTCACATTTATGTATTTATTCTAAAATAGCACATGGTACTGGTTGCTCATCCTGGGAAAAATTGAATAAAAAGACCCTCAAATATCAAGTGTTTTCACTGAACCTCTGATGAAAGGAAAGCAAGATTCAACAATGCCTATGCCTGCATCCCTGACAGCCTGATGGCCAAACCACACTGTGCAAAGAGAAAACGCACAATAAAATCAGAGGTCTAAGGTGAAATAATCATGAAGCCCACTCAGCAATTCTTTACCCAAGGAATAATTATAAATTGAGTTTTAGGGACCCCAGAATAGAACAGCATGTTCATGAGCAGAGAGGCGTTCTCCCTCTGTACAGTAACAGAGTAAACCTCAGCTTCATCTTTTCCTTTGAGCCTTGCAATGTTACCTACACCCAGTGTTCAATAAACATTGGAGGTTTGGCTAAATGGATGAATGGACAAATGGGAAAATTAATGAGTTCTATTTATCACATCCCAACGTAGCATGAGCAGTTTCATTCTCTTTAAAATGGAAAAATAAAATAAAATGGAGCTTAGGCAAACCAAACACAAACAAGATAAGACAAATATGTGGTATAAACAAAATGTGTGCATGGGTGCTGTTAAGATTTCATTGCTTCTTATTTGGCAAAGTATATATTATTCATTGCCACTCTAATTACTGCCACCGTCCCAAACTCATAATAAAAACTTTATAGCACCCCCCATACCATCATGTGTTTAGTATGGGAAATAATATAATCTGCCATAGTTTCCATTGTTATAAATATAATTGACAAAAGAGCTGTTATGCTTATAGCAACATAAGCTTGTTCTGATATGTAAAACAAAGCTGTAAGAAAAAAAATCATCAGATTGTAGAACCAATGCCTAATTGAGTTTGTAGTGCCAAACGCAGCACATTCTATCACTTAGGGAGCCCACTGTTAATCAGTTTCACCAAAATAACCTTACTCTCAATAACTGACACTTCTAGGGCAATAATCTTTCACTCTCTAATAATTCCACGAAGGGCAACAATTTATATATTATAACGAGTAAATAATCTGAAAATAGAGTACGTGAAATAAGTCATTCCTTCTTACCATTCGGATACCTAGCTGCAGGACAGTTGACTTTTTAAAAGTACCATTCTGGTCAGAGATCTTCTGCAAATCCTTTCCTAGTCTTTCCATTACCATAAATCTGTAACTATAAGAAGATGTCAAAAAGAGATCTTAAGATAGCAATGCGTGGAACCTTCTGTTTATGAATTGAAACAAGCAAAAATATCCCCAATCTAACAATAAAGAATGATGCAGTATGAACCATCAAAGAAAGAATGTACATTGATAACGCCGTTCTTTTGCAGTATTTTACGTTGCACTTAGTTTCTAGAAAAGAATGTTGTGCTGAACCATCCACACTGTCTTAGATAATGAAAAAAAAAATCTTTCAAAATTAAACAGTTTAAATTTATTTCATTTTGATTCCATGACCTTCTCACCATATAGTCTTGAACAAATTATTTGTTCATACAGGAAATTTTATTTATATTTGCTTTTGACCTCATAAAATCAAATTTACTGTCTCTATACATTTATAAACATGTTTTTTTAAAAAAGGCTTTTTTCTTTTCTTCTGTGTTTGGCACCTCTACCCCTTCTTTTCTTCCCTTCACTTACCTACACGGGACCCTATTCTATATCTATCTATTATGTATACACACATACAGACATATAAACTTTTGGCTTTGTTTTACAAAAATTGTGATCTTATTTTATGAGCTTCTCTGCATCATACTTTTTTCAGTTTTATCTCACTGAAATCCTTCCAAGTCAACTAGTATAGCATTAACTGATCTATTTAATATGCTGCATAATAGTGCGTGATATGAAAGTACCATGCTTAGCCATTCACTCCCTTATTGGCTGTGCTTTATTTTGTTGCAAGATTATTGTTTGTTCATTTTGTTTTTATTTAAAGCATTTAAAGACCATTTAAGCAAAGCTCTGACCTTTGAGCCTATTTTCCTTACCTAGGCAAAAAAAAAATATCACCTGTCTTTAAAGGCTTTTGAAAGGACAAAATGAGTAACTAACAAATGACAGCATTTCTTTTTCTTTTTAAAATCACTATTAGTGAATTATTTACATGTAATGATTAGCTATATTTGGTGGTTTTAGAAATATTTCTATTTCTAAAAATTCTTTTTTTGCCTCTCTTCAAGAGATAAAGCTCAATTCTCCTCTCTTCAGTATAGGGTACAGTTAATGACTTGCTTCTAGCAAAGCGAGTACAGTAAAAATGATAGGGTATCGCTTCTCAGATTAGATTATAAAAAGGCAGTGGCTTTCTTCTTGGATGCATGCCTGTGTGCACGTGCACTCTCCTCCTCCCTGTTACTTGCTCTAGGGAAGCCAGCTGCCATGTCTTTATAACATTTGGGTAGCCCACGGACAGATACGGTGAGGGTATGAGGCCAGCCCAACAACCCATGAGTGAATTTAATGCAGGTCTTCTTGGGCCTACCAGTGACATGAGTGACCTTTAAAGCTGAACCTTCCCGAGTCTAGCCATGAGATGACAGTAGCCCAAAAAACAGCTGAGTACATACTCATAAGAGATCCTGAGCCAGAACCATCCAGGTAAGCCAGTTATGGATAACTGGCCCACAGAAATTAAGGTAGTATCAGTTGGTTGTTATACGCCACTACATTTTGGGTAACTTGTTATATAGTAACAAATATTAATAGACCACATAGGAAACAGGAATTGGATGACATTTGATTATAATAATTCTATTTTACCTTTTCCCCTTGAATTCAGTAAGGCCAGATCCATAAAACAGAGGAATTCCTAAATGATCAAGTTTTTTTAGTTCTATCCATTTTTTGACTGCAAAAACAAATTTAATAAGAAAAGAGATAAATGCTTTTTATAAAGATATTTCTTACTTTACTTTAATGCTAAAACTTATTTAGCTAACCTAAATAGAAATTAAACCTTCATAAAATTTCTTTTTAGAAATCAAATATATCTATCAAATGGCTTTAAATTATATTTATCACTATAATTAACACAAAAAACACACAGAGAAATTTCAAATTGAATAAATTATAAAAACTCTATAACCATTAAAATAATAAATAATAACCAAAGCAAAAGTAGCAATAGTCATAAAATGGATTGTTATCACATACACAAATGTTTTTATCCATGAAAAAATTCATTCCCTTACATGCTAGTTAAATGTTTAAATATAACATTTTAACCATCAAAGAATTTGTGGAGAGATGGCTTTTTCTTCCTTATTAGTTAAAATTCTAAAGCCATGGTAGTCAAGAACCAGAAACTGGGCAGATAAATGGTCTTACTCTGAAATTATGTTATACAGAAATTGTTTTGATTAAATTTTTTTTAAAAAATCTACTTACAACAATCAAGTAACTTATTTAATTTTGTGCTTTTCTATCATGTATGTTTAATGTTTAAAAGAGCTCTACTGATAAATAATCAAGTTTAATGGATTTTATTTGTCACCCTGAAATACTTTAGGCAGTCAGTAAAGACTAGAGTCTTAATGATTAGAAGGTTTTATTACAGGAAAAAAAAGTTAATTATTGAAGATAGACTCATCATTCTTTTCCTTAAACATAATGTAAAGGACCCTTGACTATAAAGTCATTACTCAAATCAACGTCCTTAAAGCTTTACTAAGTCCATATACAACTTACAGTGTTTAGAAAGTGCTTTTATTCTTCTTCAACTCAGCTCATAATTATTTCACACTGAAATCCTTTAACTGGTAGTTTTTGTATCTGAACCTCAGCTCCAATTAATTTCTCAAAATTCATATACCTGGCATTTTTAACTTATTTTCTAAATCATCTTGATGTTTAATCATATCTATACATCTTACCCTAATCCATTCCTAAGATCATTCCTTTTGTTTCTGTATCTACTGCCAATGCCCATTTTAATTATGCTTCCTTACATCCTTCCTAGCCAAACGGTTTTTTAAAAAATTTTTAAATTTATTTTTAGAGAGAGGGAAAGGGAGGGATAAAGAAAGGAAAAGAAACATCAGTGTGAGGGAGAAACATCGATCAGTTTCCTCTCACACGTGCCCTGGTCTGGAGAACCCAAACCCAGGCATGCGTCCTGAATGGGAACTGAACAGTTGCTTTTTGGCTTTGTGGGAAGACGCCCAACCAAGCCACACCAGTCAGGGACAATTTTTTTTTTAATTAATTTCATTCTACTATCTTTCACATTTAGAGAACTCTTGAGAGCTTGGATCAACAACATAACATTTTATGTAAAGTAGTAGAAACAATTCTGAAATATATAACCCATTATGTAATATCAAAATTTGCACACCACCTGCCTTTTTTATATGTCATAACAGCTAACTGTATCATTTTACAATAACATTTCTAATTGGAAAGAATTTTCCAGAAGGCTAGAAAAAGATAAAAATATTTACACTCACTTTAGCAAGCATATATATGGAAGTAGCTTGCTTTGCTAATTTTACTTACTACATTCTTTTTTTGCAGCTCTTTGGTAAAATTTAAGTTCTGAAAATAATGGGCCATTTTCTTGATACTCCTATAAAAGAAAAGGACAATTAATTTTACTTAAAAAATCTTAGAGATAAAATTGGTATTGGAACTGTAAAAATATGGATATACATATGTAATATACAATAGTACTTGAATCATTTATTATAAAACACAGGCAACAGATTTCCATGAAAAAATCTCCCAAAAAAGCACTAAATAAACTTAAAGAATCTCATTTTTAAATTTAACATATTGTAATGCTATCTCTATACAGTTTTACACATGAAAGCAGTCTTCTAATGGAAAGAACTTAACCAAAAGCACTGAGAATTTCATACATACACAGCCACTCCATGTGTACCAACATGCACATCAGAGGATATACTGCAAACTACCTGGGTGTTCATTCTACATGACACCTTTACTGAGTATCTACTATATTTCATTCATTGTACTGGGCACAGGGGCAACAAACAAAAATAAAACCTCATCCCTGCCTGTAAGGACCACACCACCTAGAGCAGAGAGGGAAGAAGAGGGGAGGGAGAAGGGGAGGATGGATCGATAAGAAAGAAGGGTTAGGGATGCTAACATGGAAGAACAAAGTTCTTCAGTCTTTACATTTTAACAATGTGAAACTATAACCCAACATAATTTTACCTATCATTAAACATTTATGGAACTATGATGAAAAACATTTTTACAATAATAAAGTGAATAAAGTAGGAACAAGTCAAATATATGAGAAATACAAATTTGAGAGCAATACTTACCACTTTTATTACATGTCTTGCATCTTCATCTGGTTTATTTGTGGGGAAAGCTGCAGAAGAAAACACAACGGGGAAAAAATAGTTGTTCCAAATTACTGAATGTCTACTATATGCCAGACAGTGTGCTAAGCACGTCACATACATTATTTTATTATATCCTCTGAAGACCTCTTAAAATAGGCATCATCTCCATTTTACACAAGATCCTACTAAGGTGTGACAAACTGAAGAATTTGCTAAGACGTAGCCGATTGGAGATTGCAACTCAAACTGGTCTTGACACCAGAGCCCACACTCTTTACCACAAACCGTATTTAAATATTCGAACAAGTAAAACCAGGAAATGATATTAATCGCATAGATAAATGTGGGGAAAAACAGTTTCTAGATATACAGCATTAAACCCAATAAATGATATACAGTAAAGTCTATTGATTCAGTTTTACTGAATTAAAACCTATGATGATTCAGAAATGAAAACTGATTCCTTTAAGTAGAAAGTTAAAAATTTCTACTTGGTAAAATTCTAAAGTCAGTTCAAGTTAGAAAAAGAACAAAGTCTTTCCTAGACTCATAGAGAAAGAGCAGCTCTGCAGGAGGATGCGGGGTAAAGGGATCAAGCGAAAAAATAAAGAACTCAGGACACGGAAGGTAGCGCGGTGACTGGGGGAGGGGGCGGCAGGTGGAGGTGGAAGAGGGGGTAAGGGGGATAAATGGTAATGGGAAAATTTCAGTAAAAGCAAACTACTAAAATAAATAAATAAATTTTCAAAAAGAACAGTCTTTTAAAAATTATCTTCTGTACTTAGCAATCTATTATTCCAACATTAAAGAATACATATCGCATAATATATACTCATTTCAAGCTATCTTACTTCATTTTATTATTTACCACTGGCATTTTAGATACAGTAATCTAACTTCTGAAAACTCTACTGCTAAATTTTTAGATCAAATCAGTAGTTTCCTCTATATTATTAAAAGATTCTTCTGTTTTCAAATCTTTAACAGGGAAGTTGACATGTATATTTATTTGTATTGTGAGGTCTAGAATTTTGTCACTCATCTATTCACTCTTCATCCATTTATTCCTTCATTCATTCAACTAACGAGTATTTATCAAGAGGCTAGAATATGCAAGGTGCTGTGTTAAGCATTAGGATGATGTTTACAGGAAAGTGAAAAAGGAAAAGGTGAAACTACTACTGAATACAACTGAGAAAATTAGCACTTAGACTGAGAACAAGATCAAATTCTTCAGGTATATTTTCTGTATGTTTATCAAAATGCTGTGTCCTCTTATTACTACTCCCACCATTTTTCCTTTTCTTTCTCCTAACTCCATCAACTGTTCTATTAATTCACATGGTAGATGTAAAAAGTACATCACAACTTTACTAAAGTATATAAATTGTACTTCAAAGTTGTACATATGCACAATTTTCTTACCCATTCTTCAAAATTTTGATGTTAGCAATGCTATTAGTTGAAGAAAATATTACTTCAATTTTAGTGGATATTACCTATAAATTGTGACCCTAGACGTCTTTACAGTAATGAAGAAACTAAACTTATTTATATCAATTGAATTTCTGTTTTCATCTTTATTCATATAAGGTGGTTTTATTTCCACTCATGCAGTAGTCCCAAGGGAACTGTGTGCAGGAGGAGTGGATTATCCACATCTACTGAGGAAAAAAAACCAAACAAGTACGCACAGAAGAAGGGATCCAGTCCTGCTAGAGAAGAAGTGAGAAAAGCCTTTCTTCCCAACCAAGGACAAATTACTTTTTCTAGTATGATGCCCAAGGTTGGGAAGAAATAGTCCTGCTCTAACCCTGGCCCATTGGTCTTTGCTTTCTGGATTATAAGCCAGTAAGAGAAAAAAGAAGAAAGAAAGAAAAAAAAAAAACACCTTCCTGCTTCTTGTCTAAAAGCAAGTGACCATGGCAGCAAATAAATCTTTAAGCCAAACCAAAAGTAAGAAGCAGAAAAGCACAAAAGGCAAATGGGGATTTCAATCAGGGGCGTCCAAACTTTTGGCGTTGCTGGGCCACACGAGAAGAAAAGTTATCTTAGGTCACACATTAAATACACAAACACTAATGAAAACTGATGAGGAAAAAAAAAGTTTTAGGTACATTTATGATTTTGTGTTGGGTCACACTCATAGCCCTTCTGGGTCGAATGCGGCCCGTGAGCCGCAGGTTGGACACAAATAACACATTACGATGCCATTGGGGGAACAAAGATACCCAACCAGTTCAAAATCTTACTCCTTGCTGATTTTAATCAGTATATCCCTACCACTGTGCAATCTGAATCTTCCTTTCATATTATTTCATGTGACTATGATCACATGTTGACATATACTTGAAACATCCCCATACTTGTCATTTGATAGCTACACAATGTTCTCTATAAACTCCCCAGTCAGATTATATTGGAGAGTCCAAATCCTAAATCAATTGACTAGAAAGCTTTTAGAGATGGATGTTAAACAAATAAATTGTCTTAGTTACCGTGGAGTTCTCTTTACAGTAATCAATCAGTTAATTAATTAAACAAATATTTATTTTCCAATGTAAGCCAAGCCACATTCTAGCTAGTAAAATGAAATGATCACAGAAAACAGACATGGTATCTGCTTTTATAGTTTACTGGAGAAATCTGACATTCATCAAATACTCATACACAGTGTAACACTGTAATTATAATGAATGTTAAAGGAAGAGATAGATGGTAGTATGAGGATGTATAATTTAATTTATATAAAAGAAAATGTTTGAGCAAAACTATTTGGACAGATGATAAAGTGCCAGACGAAAATCTAGTTAATAATTTCTAATGAAAGGTTTTTAAAAGCTTGAGATATATAGGTAAGATAGGGAACATATCATTAGATCTGCATTGTGAACAGATCACTGTACTACAATGTAGAGAACAGACTGAAAGGGAACCACAGTAGATATTGAGAGTTCAGTAAGGATTTAATTGTGGTAGAGAGAACTATAGCTTGGACTAGAGCATCAACGCTAGATATAAAGAAAAATAACAGATTCCATAGATTTCAGAAGCTGCTAGAACTTAGCAATGGAGGAAAAGGGGTCTAGTTTGTTATGTTACAGCTTGATTAACCTATTGGGGGAAAAGAAGAATGACCAATCATCAACAGTGATAGGGTTGAAAGTACATAGTCTCTTACCTTCAATTAAATTTCTGACCAGAGGTCAGATGACCTGATAAGGAACATGTTGGGCACATATTCTGGTATCTGCCTTCCTAGCATTTCTTTTCTATTCATTGGGTTCCTAACCTGGTTTTCCTTTGAGAAACCAATCCTCCCGCTTTTCATGTGGACCTAGGGTACCTTCTCTTATACCCCAGACCTGGGCACATGACTGAGCCTGGCAAAACACAAGCCCCTGGCCACAGTAACCAGTTCAGAAATGGCAAGCACCCCGACCTAGGTAAAAAATTCTTCCCGAGGATTTGATGTTAACATGCTAAGTACAACAAGATAGACCATAAGCGATAAGGATGCCAAAACCCTGGAAATAGCAGTGATCACTTTCCTCAGTCACATGGGAAATAAAGTCTGAAAACCAAACCCAGCACTGAGGAAAGTAGGATTAAGGCAGAGAGAGTGCCAGTGACACTGCCCAAGGCCTAGCCATGTCTGAAGCCAGCAGAGCCCTGTACTTACCAGTTCTAAGAATTAAAATCACACATTTGTGTTTCTAACATTGGCAACCAAAGACCACACAGAAAGCAACCAGAACAATTAAAATATGATACACTGGCACACCAGATAAACCGAAAACCTTCCTCTATAAAAACAAACAGGATGAATAAAATAAATCAAACTTTCTTATAAATGTGAAGATAACCTGCCCCCTCTCCGCCCCCCCCCCTAAAAAAGGTTAGGAAGCCAAAGACAAAGAGAAACGTAAAAGCTAATGGGAGACGACATGAGCACTGGTGTCCAGGCCGTGCCGCACACCCGAAGGGGTCTGCCTGGTCAGGGTGACCAAGAACCCAAGTGTTCAAGTCCTCCTGGGAAAAGGACATGGCTTGGGACTGTAAGATAAAGAAATCTGAAGTTGAGATGACCACATAAACTCAGAATTTTCAAAGTGGTACATCTTCAGTAGCATGGGACATTAAAAAGATAGGGAGATACGGGAGAGGGATAAAGGGGAGGGAGAGCGGAAAGGTAAGAAAGAATGAGAGAGGATATAAATAAACGAATGAATGCACTACCACAAAACACAGAAGTTAAAAAGAAAAACAAAAAACCTTGGCTTGGTCTGGACCCTGAGTATTAGGAAAAGCAGAGTGTCTCCTCATAATTATCCCAAAAGCTCCCTTCAAGAATTTAGGCTAACTTTTACACCAAAATTTACCACAAAGTGTGGTACAAAAAAACTCAAAACCAATGATAACTTACAGCACCTGGCAAAAGCAAAAAACAAATCTCCTTCAAGGGACACACTGAACACACAGGATTACCAGAGGTAAAGCACAGTAAAACATAAGTTAATGATCCATAATTACAAACAGAAGGAAAAACAAACAATAGGCATAAACCTCAAGAAAATTTAGACTTCTCATACAGATCTACAGACTGAATATCTACTTAAGATATTAACAGACACAAACAAAGGTAACCATAAGAAACAAAGCAAGTGCTATATAAAAACAAGTGAACAAAATGATTGTAATTAGAAAAGCATCAGAGATCTAAGAAAGAGTGGCTAAGAACAGGAAATACATTAGAACTCCAAGAAAAAATCTGGGAATAAGTCTGAATTTGCAATGGCAATACTGGAAACAACCCAAATAACTATCTTTGGCACAATGTTTAACAATTTGTATTAAAGTCACACTATTGAATACATTGCAGCAAAGCAAATAAATGAAATGCAGATACTGTAGCAATAGATACATCTTAAAAACATACCGTAGAGCAAAAACTATATAAAACAGAATACTTATGATTTATGTAAATTTTAAAACCCACAAACAAATTATGTTTGGTTTGGGATGC